CGAAATGCAGGCGAGAGTGCGCTTTGGCTCAGTCAGGCGCAACCCTCTGCGGAGATCGTGCATGTCGAGGGCGCGAAATGCAGGTGAGAGTCCGGCGCAACCCCTCTGCGGAGATTGTGTGTGTCGAGGGCGCGAGATGCAGGTGAGATGGCGTTTTGGATTTGTCGCGGGCAGCCCTCTGCGGAGATCGTGCGTGTTGAGGGCGTGAAATGCAGGTGAGATTGCGTGTTGGATTTGTCCGGCGCAACCCTCTGCGGAGATCGCGCGCGTCGAAGGCGCGAAAGGCAGGTGAGATATCAGAAGTGGCCAGTTTGTAGTACAAAATGTAGTAGGGGAAAGAGCTTTTCGGAGCTGGACTCAGAAGTGGCCAGTTTGTAGTACAAATGTAGTACGGGAAAGAGCTTTTCGTCATACCTGGCGAGCTTGTAGTGCAGATGTAGTACGGGAAAGAGCTTTTTGGAGCTGGACTCATACCTGGCCAGTTTGTAGCACAAATGTAGTACGGGAAAGAGCTTTTTGGAGCTGGACTCAGAAGTGTGGTGAGCGGGATGATTGGCGGTATCGTGTGATAGGACAGCTTCTAGCGTGTGGGCAGACCGTGTGGCGAATTACGTCCATGATGTCGCAGTGCCATGCGGATTGGCGCGGCCTTGGTGGAAAGTGCGTTTGCGTTGCGCCGTGCCACTGGGGAGCGCGAAACACGCTGGCGTAAACGCGGCATGTCGCTGGTGAGCGGGATGATTGTGGTATCATGTGACTTGTTTGCTTCTAGTGTCTGGGCAGACCGTGTGGCGACGCGACGTTGGTGATGTCGCAGTGCCATTGGGATTTGCGCGGCCTTGGTGGAAAGTGCGTTTGCGTGGCGCCGTGATAGTGGGGAGCGCGAAACATGCTAGCGTAAACGCGGCGTGTCGCTGGTGAGCGGGATGATTGGCGGTATCGTGTGATAGGATTGCTTCTACTGTGTGGGCAGACCGTGCGGCGAATTACGTCCGTGATGTCGCAGTGCCATTGGGATTTGCGCGGCCTGGGTGGGCAGCGTGTTTGCGTGGCGCCGTGCACTCAAAAGCGCGAAACAGGCTGGCGTAAACGCGGCGTGTCGCTGGTGAGCGCGATGATTTGCGGTATCGTGTGACATGTTTGCTTGTAGTGTGGGCAGACCGTGGGGCGACGCGACGTTAGTGACGCAGTGCCATGCGGATTTGCGTGGCCTTGGTGGAAAGTGCATTTGCGTGACACCGTGCCACTGGGGAGCGCGAAACACGCTGGCGTAAACGCGGCGTGCCGCTTGTGAGCGGGATGATTGGCGGTATCGTGTGATAGGATTGCTTCTACTGTGTGGGCTGACCGTGTGGCGAATTACGTCCGTGATGTCGCAGTGCCGTGCGGATTTGCGCGGCCTCGGTGGGAAGTGTGTTTGCGTGGCGCCGTGCCACTGGGGAGCGCTAAACATACTGGCGTAAACGCGGTGTGTCGCTGGTGAGCGGGATGATTGGTGGTATCAGGAGTGTCCCAAAAGAGTGCCCCGCAAGAGCTTCCTCCGAGAGTGACCCACAAGAGTGTCCCAGAGAGAGTGCCCCACAAGAGTATCTTGACACGCTCACATCTGCAGATCTGCCTCTCCACCTCCACACATCTGCGCATCTATATCGCACCTGCACATCCACACTGTCACTCCTGCACATCCGCCCTCTCTTTCTCTCTTTCTACACATCTTTTCTCTTGATAGTTTAAATTTCTCCCAAAAGAGTGCCCCGCAAGAGCTTCCCGCAAGAGTGACCCACAAGAGTGTCCCAGAAGAGTGTCCCAGAGAGAGAGAGTGTCCCACGAGAGTATCTTGACACGCTCACATCTGCAGATGTACCTCTCCACCTCCACACATCTGCGCGTCTATATCGCACCTGCACACCCACACTGTCACTCCTTCACATCCGCCCTCTCCTTCTCTCTTTCTACACATCTTGTCTCTTAAATTTCCAATTGCATCCAGAGGTCATGGGTCTGGGACAAGTCGAATTGAACTATCGGCTTACTCGGAATTGTTGGCAAATCACCTGTCTCGCACGTTCGAGGGGTTCGTTCACGGTGTTCTGTGGAGCAATTGAAGAGTTTGAGCCTGAAGCTGCGTCGAGCGATGACGTCTTGGTTGTGGTTGGAGCCTTACTTGAAGTCAGTGCTGCAAGGGAATATTTCCATAAAGCCATAAAGAGTTTGGAGCATATCTGTTTTTCACAACATCGTGGTGATTGCGCAAAGAATGCCTGGTGGCGTCGGCGGAGGATGGATGGAGGATGACTCCGTGGTTGGAGTGTCTGGAGCTTGGATGTTTGCATGGAGGTAGTGAAGGCTTTGCAAGTTTGAATGGGTACAGGTTGCCAGCAGAACATGCTTGTGGAACAAGCTTTTGGTTCGAGTCGCGTGCCCGGGACGCGCGTCAAAGTGTCCAAAGAGTTCCAAGTAAAGGTTCCAAGTAAAGGTTCCGAAGAAGGTTCCAAGTGAGGGTTCCGAGGTTGCAAGTAATTAAAGGTTCCAAGTGAAGGTTCCAAAGGTTCCAAGTGAGGGTTCCGAGGTTCCAAGTAAAGGTTCCGAGTGAAGGCTCCGAAGGTTCCGAGGTTAAGGTGCCGTGTCAAGTGCCTAAAAAGTTCCAAGTAAAGGTTCCAAGTGAAGGTTCGAGTGAAGGTTCCGATGGTTCCGAGGTTCCGTGTCAAGCGTCTTAAGAGTTCCAAGTAAAGGTTCCAAGTAAAGGTTCCGAGTGGAGGTTCTGAAGGTTCCAAGTGACGGTTCCGAGGTTCCAAGTGAAGGTTCCGAAGTTTCCAAGTGAGGGTTCCGAGGTTCCAAGTAGAGATTCCGAGTGAAGGCTCCGAAGGTTCCGAGGTTAAGGTTCCGTGTCAAGTGTCTAAAAAGTTCCAAGTAAAGGTTTCAAGTGAAGGTTCTGAAGGTTCCGAGGTTCCAAGCAAATGTTCCGTGTCAAGTGTCCAAAAAATTCCAAGTTTAATTTAAGGGTCCAAGTGAAGGTTCCGAAGGTTCCAAGTGAGGGTTCCGAGGTTGCAAGTATAAAGGTTCCGAGTGAAGGTTCTGAAGGTTCCAAGCGAGGGTTCCGAGGTTCCAAGTAAAGGTTCCGAGTGAAGGCTCCGAAGGTTCCAAGGTTAAGGTTCCGTGTCAAGTGTCAAAAAAGTTCCGAGTAAAGGTTCCAAGTGAAGGTTCCGAGTGAAGGTTCCGAAGGTTCGGAGGTTCCAAGCGAAGGTTCCATGTCAAGTGTCCGAAGAGTTCCAAGTAAAGGTTCCAAGTAAAGGTTCCGAAGGTTCCAATTGAGGGTTCCGAGGTTCCAAGTGAAGGTTCCGAAAGTTCCAAGTAAAGGTTCCAAGTGAAGGTTCCGAAGGTTCCAAGTGAGGGTTCCGAGGTTCCAAGCAAAGGTTCCGAGTGAAGGCTCCGAAGGTTCCGAGGTTAAGGTTCCGTGTCAAGCGTCTAAAAAGTTCGAAAAAGGTTCCAAGTGAAGGTTCTGAGGTTCCAAGCGAAGGTTCCGTGTCAAGTGTCCAAAGAGTTCCAAAAAGGTTCCAAGTAAAGGTTCCGATTGAAGTTTCCGAAGGTTCCAAGTGCCAACACCGAGTGTGCGCCAAGCGCGCCCAGCCCAACCTCACGCAAAGCATGCCCTCGGCGTTTTCCTGAGCTCCCTCTCTCTCCTTCTCTTCTCCTTCTGTTCTCCTTCTCTTCTCCTTCTCTCTCTCTCTCTCTTCTTGGGTTTCTCTTTCTCTGTCTTTCTCTCTGCAGAGCGCGCTGTATTTCGGGGCGCGCCAGAGCGCGCCGTCCAAAGCACGCGAACGAGCGCGCGCGCCGTTCGCCCTGCTGTATTTCTTTCTTTCTTTCTTCACCAACAGCGGAAGCTTGAATTCTCAACCAAACTAGGCACTGGGGCACTGTGGGGCAGTCATCCGGTGAGGTTCCCTGAGGTTCCGAGGTTCCAAGTGAAGGTTCCCACTTGGATGGCCATACCTGGTTGTAACTAGTTGGCTAGTTTAAGGTTGACGTTGGCTCGGTTGTGTCATGGTTGGCTCAAATGTATAGACTGATTTAGCCAACTTGCCAGGGACCAGTTTAGCGAGCTTACGCGGACCTGGTTGGTCTGTTTGTAAACTAGGTTATGGTAGTTGTCGCTAAGTCAACTAAACTGGCCAAACTGGTATCACGCGTTGTCTATGTCATCTACATGTTTGAAAACAAGCGCGCGCCAAAGTATTTGCGCAATACCCAGCTTCAGTTGAGATGGAGCTGTGCATACTGTTTGCTGCCCTCGCAGCTGTAATGTCTATAGCTTCAGTCGAGCTGCCACCCCGGTTGCCGCCACTACCCCCAGATCTTTTCTCACCACTGTGGCATGGAGAGGGAAGGAAAAACTACTGCTTCTATAGCTGTCGTGTTTTCAGAGGGGTGATACCACGCATACTCACACATACATGCAAGACCTATATAGAGATACATACATATAAACGTATTCAACGCTTTCTGAAAATCTTGCCCTTTTAAAAGGTATAGAGATGTCTTTGTACAATAATCTTGTGTTCACGATGTCCAGCTTTGTTGGAACTGAGCTGCGCAAAATCCAGATTGCTGCCACTACCATCACTTCTTTTTGCACAGCTGTGGGGGGAAAGAGAGAGAAAGAGAGAGAAAGAGAGAGAGAGAGGGAGAGAGAGAGAGAGAGAGAAACGACCGGGAGCAACCTGCCTGTTAACATATATTAGCCGGACGAAGCCTTCTACCTCCTATATATACTGTACCATCACACACACCCGTGCGAGCCAGGGTTGGAGCCCTGCACTGGGCACAAAAGCACACGCCGCATATATAGGCCTCATTGCTCGCCATGTTCCTGGCGCAGGGCAACGAATCGATTTGTCAACCGACGCGCAGGGCAATTCCACGGAATTCAATGCTCGCATGAATGTTTGCAGGGCATGCGTGGAATGCATTTGCTCGCGAAGGTCTTAGTTGACAATTCTTTTTCATGGCGCAACCAAGGCCAGGTCAGATTCCTTTCGGGAAGGCAAAGACTTCACGAGTTCAGTCGTGAGGACAATCGAAGGGTCATTGCAAACTCGGAACCTATTGCCGCCCAAACTTTCCCACTTTGACAGCACCGTGTAAAAGCCGGTGACTTGCTGGGAACGTGCACGCATGTGAAACCACACTTCGCCAACAAAGTTCATCTTTGAGACGACGACGTCTCCTTTGCCAATTTGCTCATGGTCGCAAAGGGCCGACGTGGCAACCAACACTTCAAGCTGGTCTGCAGGCGCCAGCCCTAAAAAGCCAACAACAAAATTGAGCAACTCAGTTGATGCCTCATGAGGGTTGGTAAGGATGACTCCCTCCTTGGGGTCCCAGTTCTGAAGCTCCAAGAACTGCGTCAGCACCGCTTCCTGCAAAAGGCCACGCTCCCATGAAATCTTCTTGTTAGCGTTAGTGGCAGCATTTTCATGTTTCTTCAGTTCCCGGCGCTTCCTCTCCAAAGCCCAGCAGGACAGAAGGATCTTGTTCTTGTGAAGCGCACGCGGAAGGTGGAAAGCCTTGTGCGAGTAAGCCTTCAATCGCATCTCCAGGTGCCGCTCGATGGACTGGTTTAACTCGAAGGGGGAAACGCCTCGGCACCTCGATTCAACAAGAAGATCCAGAACCTTGCACAACGCAAAGTAGGAACCAATTGCATCTGATGATCCTGCAGTAGGTGAAGGGAAGAGTTCCACCAACATGCTGCGGATCATCGGATACAAAGCTAGTCCCTCACTGGCTGAGCAGGAGAGAGGCCCGGACTTGTGAGCCTGAACAGCCTTCTGCCCCGTCAAAGACCGTGAGCTCACCTTCTGAGGCCATTGGAAATTGTCCATGTATTGGGCCAGCCCCCCAGGCCCATGCTCAGCCCGCAGAACATCTAGCAAAAGTCCCGCCTCGCTCGACCAGCTGCCGTTGACAAAGTAGCAATGCATCCAATCGAATGAAGTCATGCTGACAGGTCCTTTGACCATGTTCCAAAACTGAGGGTCATACAAAGCCCCTTCTTCACACCACGTCAGCTCCACAGACTTTTCAAGTCCATCAAACTGAGTCTTGTTGAGAATTGCGCGCTGCGCGTTGAGCATGACTGCAGCTTCCTTGACTGATTCATCAGTATGTTGTCGTGCAGCGCGAAGACTCCTGATGTAGGAAGGCACAAGTTCGCCTCGAGAGTTGAAGTCAAGGTCTACATGGTAGTTGCACACGCTTTGACAAAATAAGCAGCACAGCGTCCCGGCGCTGCCTTTTACGGACCAAGCCTGTCGCAGTGCGACCTCATCTGCAACCAGCTGGCCCACACTAAGAAACACATACCTGTCCCCAACACCATGGAAGTGCAACGAAACGCCAAGTTTGGGATCAAAGGGGGCCGTGTGGAAGAGTTCCACAACCCGACGAAACAGCTGGCTGTAACCGCCGGCTATCTTCTTGACGTGGACAGTTCTCAGAGTCAAGAGATGCGTCCAGAGTTCTTCGCGAGAACAATGGTGGCCGTATTCTAGGATTGTCCAATACCAGCAAACCATCTTCCTATGATTGGTGGCCTTGAGGGCATCGCCTGGTAAGACCTCGTCACAGTACAGAGCAACTCGAAGTGGTGTGGAGATGTTGGAGTTCTGCGCTTTCTCCCAGAACCACTCACTGAAAGATGGGCGTGACCTGACTGAATGCCAAAGCAAAGGAAGTGGAGAAACGCACGGTACCTTCATGGTGTTGTTTGTATGCGTTGTGACCTCAACATCCTTGAACACAGGGCCCAGCGGTGTATCTTTTGGCAGGGCTGACGCTCGGGTCCTTTTCAAGGTCTGCCTGGATATTGCCTCAGGCAGGCCGTGCTCTCTCACAGCCTTAAGCGCAGCAACGACACCGCTTTGGGATACATATGAAGTCCTGTGGGCCTCAATGTAGACTCTATTCGAAGACGATGAACTTTTTGCCACCCATGCAATCTAACAATCCTTGATGGTAACGTCTATTCTCAGATATTGTCTTACGGGCAAAATGCCCTGCAAGATCACACAGGATGCGAGTCGTCAGCTTAACTGGGGCCCTGCTACCATTGCATGCACGCCACAGAGTCCGTGGGTAACGACTTACGGACACCACAAAAACAAAATCAAATCGCAACGAATGTAATCATTTGCTCCGTTTTGTCAAGCTTTGAGGTTAAAAGCTACAAAGTTGCAACGTGTGACTGAGCACAATTTTTGGGAAAGCCCCAAAACACTGACATGGCATCACAAGCCATCACGTTGAAAACACTGCCCTGACATCGCAAGCCTTCACGCTGCAGGCGTGCAATCAACTTGCCAATGCAAAGCGGTAGTACACATATGCTCTTACATCAACTCTGTGTGTGTGTGACAAAAGCGCACTGCAAAGGAACGTCAACTCTATCGAAACCACTGTCGCAGGTGAGTTCCAATCTCTTATCAAAACTTCTTTAGAGAGCTTGGGAAGTTCAAGTCTTGTGATACCACATGGCGTAACACAAGCGTGACATATTCACCTCCATGGAGTGGTGGGAGCCATGCGCCTGGTGCAGGGCAATTTGCAAACTGCAATCGTTTTCACCAAATCCGAAGTTACTGCGCATCATTGCAGTCACAGTCGTCTCAAGAAATACAGCAACTACAAAAACATTACAAACATACGTCAAACTTGTTTACAGAGTGTGTGGGCATCCATCCATCACGCAAAGACTTGGAATTTTCTTCGCTCTTTGCAGGGCTGACTCCATATAGCCCAGATCCTCAAAGTAAAAGCATCATGGACTGCGCTGTGTGCACTAGTTCACGTCTTCAGCATCTTCAAATGCGTCGATGACGGACAAGGCCTTCTTCCAGCAGCCCTCGATATCATTTGGATCTATCTTGATTTTTCTGTCGCAGCGGTCTTGCGCCTGTTTGAAGACCCGAAAGGCGTCAGAATTCCGGTGCACCTTGCCACCTCGGTAGTATGTGGTCTTGGCACCTTTCTCCATCACGGGCGGGTTCTCACCCTTGCCCCAAATCTTCCGGTCCTCCATCTTTGTCGCCTTCTTGGCGGAAGGTTTCTTGTCCTCGCCATCTTCGGCCTCAGCCACCGGTGCTTCTGCATGATCACGCGTGGCATTCTTTTTGCTTGTAGCTTTGGCTTTGCTCTTGGCTTTGCTCTTGGCTTTGGCACCTGCTTTGCCTTTTGCTTTTGCCCTCGGCTTAGCTTCCTGCGTGCCAGCTGCAGCCTCAGCTGCAGCTTTTGCCTTAAGACGTTCCCTGGTCGCTGAAGCCACCAAAGCTGCCTGCTCTTCCACTGGAAGCGGAGGAGGCAAGTGTGGAAGTGAGAGAACTGCTGGTGCCTTCTCTCTCGACTCCTCTTGACTGTCACTGCGTTTGGGATCGTTTGAAGGTGGTGAATCTCCAATCTTTGCAGCACTGGGAGGAGTGGCAAATTCACGCTTCTTCCCTTTTCCGTCACTAAAGATCTGAAGACCTGCCAATCCCTCTTCAGTCTTCTGCTGACTGCCACTGCTGCCACTGCCGCCCGCCTGGTTCACCATGTGCTGCATCTGCTGGAACGTTTGGAACATCTGGAACATCTCCATCATCTGTGGTTGCATGTTCCCCATTGGCTGTGAGCCGGCGCACGTTGCTTCTGCACCTTCGCCAGCTGCAAATCACTCTGATTCTGAGGGGTTCCCTGCCACTTCCACGGTCATACAGCTTCGAGCTCTTTTTTAGCGGCAAGGCCTCCAGGCTCTGACACACCTGGCCATCCAACTTTTCTGGCTTGTCGTCCTGGTCGTACAGGCTCTCGATCATTGAAGCCGAAGGCTCGCTCGGATATTTCACCACATGCTCAATCTTCTGGAGTTGACCAGCGCCATCTTGAGCCTTCAGCTTCTTGACCTTGGACTTCAACATCTTCTTCATGGAGCCCAGCATCTCAACAGACTGCTTGCCCACCTGCAACTGGAGGCCACATGCCGCTGCAGTCTGCAGGATGTGGCCGCTGGTCTGCTCTGTTGGCAAGTGAAGCCCAATGCGAACCATCCGATTGGTCACGATGTCCAACTTCATGGCTGCAGCACTCTGTCCCCTCAGCTGCTCGAGATCCTTCTTCGTCAAGTATGCCCCAAAATTGAAGCAGGTTTGCTTCTCACGGCATGACGTCTTCTTGCTTCCGCCCTTCAGAAAAGCCTCGTTGACGCTCTGCGTGAGCGCAACTTTGTTTTCAGCAGACCATGGTCCGGCTTGGACTTTCTGAATGACATCCGTAGCCCGCCCCATGTCGACCTGCAGTTTGGCATTGCTGTCTGACAACAGCCCATCTGCTCGGCAGGAAGGAGGGACTGCTGCGCTTCTCAGAAGGTGCGCGTCTCCTTGAGTGCCTTGAGCGCATCTTCAATCTCTGCCATCGCAGAGAAAATATGAAAAAATGGCTCACGATCTTCAAGAGCTAAGAGCCACAGCGCTGGCAGAGCAGCTACGAGGCGAGCCCACACAAAGAGAGAGCCCTGCACTCATGAACAGCGAGCAGTGTGAGCCCTGCTAGAACACAGAAACCAAAGTGTTTCCAACTGCTGCGACGCCGCTCGCACAAGTATCAATGACTTCACAAAGATCTACCCAGACAAACTGTCGGAAATGTACCTGAAGAAAGCATTTGATCTTGGACCGCAAGCAGGGCCAGGCTCGCTTGTCCAAGCAGGGCCTTGTAACAAGATGGCTCGCTGCGTGTCCAGTGTTTGCCTTTTTTCCAAGCGCTGAAGGCTCTTAAAAACCTAAATCCAGTCGGCAAAACGGATCATTTCGATGATCATGGACTGAGGCTGGATGTGTCGACAACAACTCGCCCGTCTAGTGAATGGACAACCATGAGACAAACACATTACAATGTGAAATGTTTGGGCCTTATTTTCAGTGAACCACATACATGCCTTCAATCAGATGTTCATTTATGGCCTTTGCCAACCCCCATTGCAGCCGGCCTTTTGCGCGGCTTCTTCATTATCTGGTTCTTCACCCCCTTGCCTTTGCCCGGCCCACCCTCTTGGCGCTTCCAAACAGGAACAGCATGCGTGCGTGAACGGCGAGGTATGCCTTCCAAAGCAACTCACTCCCCTTCGCCCCCAGTTTCCTGAAGTCCTCGAGCCCCTGCCAAAATGATTCCGGAGTGTTCTCCATAGAATCCCACACTTTGCATGCCCACGGAACCTTCATTCGCTGCTTCTCCAAACTTCACACATAGGCTCCATGAGCAAAACGGTGCTTTGAGAGAAGGCTTCGAAGGAGTGTCACAGGGCTTTGAGATAAGGCTTGCAAGGAGTTCGAAAGTTCAACATGGAAGCGAATGAATGGCATGTGCACTGCACAACAGTCACAACTCACAACATTTCATCATGTGTGCTTCTTTGCGCAATCCTTCAGACTTCATGCTGTGAAAACATGGACTGACAAAGCGCTCCCTGTGAAGGCCAGTGTGATTGCGAACCCCCCTGAAAAGGTACCTTTTTGGAGGGTGTCTAAAAATGGAGGCGTAGGAGAGCAGCTCGAATATTGTTTTTCACCTGCACAGCAAAGCTTGGACTCAGCATCGATACGATGCACCTATTGAAATTGAACGCTAGTTTGTTCTTCTCCCACAGCCACAGACTCAATGCGGGGTGCCATGAGCTCTATTTGCAATGTGAAAATCACTTCCTCTATTCGCCTAACGCGGTAGGGAGGGCAGCCCATTCTGCGGACGAAGGTGCGCAGCTGCAGCGCAACCCACTCGAGGAATCCTCCGGTTCCCATCATAGGCATTCTGCCAAGCCACCATGTCAACCACTGCATCACCAATGCAAAAGGCATTGCTTCAGTGCCTATGGATGAGTGTCCACCAGTTGAACCTGAAGACTCTGCGGCGAGCACACTCGACAGTGCCCTGCCAGTTCATGAGCGGGCCTGGTCAGGTGGCCCTGCTCTTTCACTTTGAGTCTTGTGGAATGAAAGGCTCGTGGATTGAAAGTGGTATGTCGCAGCTCAGTGAATAGAGGTATGGGGAGGGAAGCGGGTCCAGGGACAATGGAGACGCAATCACAGCTGAAAACAAACAGCTACAAACGCTAAGCATGCACCGTGTTGTAGCCTCTACAAATGCAAACTGACTTATCGTTCTTGGGGAGTAGGTTTTAATTTGCAAAGTTTTCAAAAACCATTTGACTTCTCTCTTTTGTGTGTGTGTAACCTTTGGAATCATAGGGATCCTCTTGGATTAGTTCGGTTTGCCTTTTGCTTTTAACTTCAAGTCAAAGCAGGGGGGCAATGCACGACTGACAGACATTGCCCAACGAAGACACTGTCAGTTCGTGGTGAAGCAATGCGGGACGTCGCATTGTGTCTGCTGGAATTTTAATTTTTTCCTGAGTTGAGCTTGACACTCCGCAGACATGCACGGAACGTCGTCACTTCGACCTGCTCGCCGACCTCGACCTTGTGCTTTGGGCCTCCTTTCCTTTTAAGACCACCAGGATTCATCGGCTCCCCACTGGTAGTCTTACCAATGGAACCCTAGGCCGGCGTGTGGCACCGCATTCAGTTCAGTACACAATATCCTAAGTGTGTTTGGCCTTGTGCCAACCCGGGATGAGCCCGCAGAGTGCCTCCCGTGGACCCGTCGAACGGGTGTACGTCGTTATCTCCCCTGCCCGGAGATGTAGACGCCCAGAGCGGGCGAAGGTGGCCTAGGCCGTACGTACGATGATTTTTGTCTCATCTTTGGAATTCCAAGTTGGCTCATGCCTTTACGTGACCGCAGCGGTCGAAACAGCCAGCCATTTCGGCAAGGCACAAGGTGACCATAGCGGTCCAAGCAAGTTTACGGTTCATTGGAACCAGTTGGAACCTTAGTTTCCCAGTTGCTCCGCTCCTTCTTCTCGCCATGTTTCCCTCTCCGGCCGGTCTCAACCCTGTGGACGGCATCGCGATGAGGGCCCAGACTATCTTACATCGAGAAATTCTTCACCTACAGGGTTTGCTGATCCTTGCAATTTCACTTCTTCGTACCCGATTTGCTATCCTTTCACCCTCTTGCCTGGACTTCGTTACCTCACCACATCTTCAGGTGCAAATTCGAGGACTTGACTCGGCGATTCGACAGGCGACTCAGGCCATCCAGACCGGTGTGCACTACATTCAGGAACTCCTCACCACATTTGGTATGATACACACCTTGAACTGCGACACTGCTCACAACTGGATGCTGAACTACGTGGACGCACGACTTTCCCTGACCCTCGCCTTCCCTCTTTTCATCCTATCCCTGTGGACTCACCTACGACTCGACGTACGACATCTACCAGTTCTACTCCGGCTACACCATCGTTTCCACCATCGAGGCCTCCTGCAAATCGTTCTCCACATAGACCATTGGTTACTACCTCGAACCGGACTCTCTCCACCGCCGAGTCACGACCCAGTACTACTCGTTCTCGCTCTCGGTCTCACCCTCGTATGAACCCTAGGAATCTCTAGACGGCTCTTTACTCACTGTTCCCATCACGAGAGGAAAATATCCACTCAATTCCCTTTCAGGCTGCCCACCGGTTCCTTTGAATTTTGACACTTTCTTTCAACTTTACATTCTGTCAATTCTACATTCTTGATTATTTTGGCTCTCAGCTTTCCCACGTTCTACACCTCCTCCCTTCGAGCCCACATCTTTCGTTCCCTCTCGCAGCCATGTCTACATCGTCTACGACGACCTCGACTCGCCCTACGGGATTGGCGCCAATTGCCGGCCTACCTTCTGCCGCTCATGAGGTACTTCATCGCGAACTTCTCCATATACACTCTTCACTACACTTGATCCTCTTGATCCTCCGCGGACCTTGGGCTACTGTCACTCCTTCCCTTGCGGACACGATTACCTGTCCTCGCCTCCGTACTACTCTCCGTGCCCTTGAGACCAGCATTGAACAGATTCGACGCTCTACCTGCGCTACATTGGTCTACACTGATGAACTTTGCTCCGCTTTGGCACTTCCACATACTACTGCCCGCATGGTTCCCTCTCCCAACTCCCTTTCTTCATCTATGGCAGCTCCTCGCCTACATGTTCTCATCTCTCCTCCTTCCCCACCCTCGACGACTACGACGACGACTACCACTGACCCTGCTCCTCCTCTCATCCTTCATACCTCCACTCCTGCTTCGGTTCCTGGCTTGAACTCGACCCGCACGGCACGTTCTCGGTCACCTTCTCGGTCACGACCCCCTCCGAGACGATTCCGATTTTAGCAGACTTTCTCACTTGCCAGACTACTTGGAGCTTTGGCAGTACAGAAAAACACACCTTTTATTCAGATGCCAGCTTGTTCACCTTTTGTCTTCTCCACCTTTTTCTCTTCGATATTGAACCTCCCAGTTTCCAATTTCCCGTTTTTCTATTGGGGCTCACCAGTGACCACTCGTCTCGCTCTCTCGTTTTTCGCCGCTTCTTCGCCGCTTTTTCTGCCATGGCTTCGACACCTACACCACCCTGTGGTCTAGCTCCGATTCCAGGCCTTCCACCTCGCGCTCAAGCAATGCTACATCGCGAACTTCTACTTGTACATGTTCTTCTGGCCCAGATCCATTCACCATTGCAGGTCCCACTTTGCATTCGTACCCTTCCATTTATGTATCGGGTGACACACCCACAACTTCGAGCTCACCTTGAAGGTTTGGACAATACGCTCCTCTTAGCCCTTCGCCTCAACCACACTGCCGTACACTACACCCACGAGCTCCTCACCGCCTTGGGCCTTCTTCATATTCTTCAACAGAGCCCGGAACAACTTGAAGATGAACTTGAAGGTCGCACTGACTTCGGCGCCCTCTCTACATTGCCTCCTCCTCCTCATTCTACTACGACGTCATCGACTGACCGGATGCCTCCCTCTTTGGACTCTCCACCCCCTCGCCATACACCTCGACCTCGTCTTCATATACGCTCGAGATCTCGCTCTCGTCCACGCTCGACCCGATCCTAACTTCGGTGTCTCACCTTGTACTGTGCCAGATGCCGGGAAGAAAAAGAAGAGAAGACCTTTTCTTGGTGTTATTGCCTTGACACTCTTTTCCATTTTCACGATCGATTCTCCATTTTTTCCCATTTTCTCTTTGGGCTTTAGCATTTGTGACATGCATTTTCACGTGATGATCATTTACTTTTCTCATTCTATTTCTGGTTGCTAGTCCTTGCTGTTAACATCTTCGGACGCATACCTGCTTCATGGCGAGCTCTGGTTCCTCTGCGGAATCCA